GATTGGCCTGTGTTTATGTGGTAGTAATTCTACCAGTGAGTTAATGTATTAACTATCTTAGGCAACACATTCCTAAAACGCAAAGACATCCTTTGGACACAGACACATTGCAAGGGGATGACATTAATGCTGAGAATTTCAGCAGACCAGCTGAGAAGGAGCTATTTGAGAGCTTGGAGCCATTTTGCTGTCTTTCCCTCTCTCTCCTTGCCACTCAATGCCTTCTCCACCGTCCACCACCCTCCCAAATTAGGGCTCCTTCAGTAGGCAGAGCCAGGCCAGGCCAGGCCAAGGAGGAGGAGGAAAGCTCACAGCAGTCTGTTCCCATATTGTCAGTGGTTCTGATATAAAGAAGGAGAGGAGACGAATAAAGTGAAGGAATAAAAGGAATTGCTGTCAATGACAATTCCCCAGGTGCTTTGAATAATTGTGAAACAGACTAATAATTACATAATTGGTCATTGGACAGAGACTGGACTATAACAGGGCCTCTAACTTATGTTCTATTCCTGTGACTTAGAAACAATTTATTTTTATGAAAAGAATGAAAGCCATGAACTGTTTTGAGTGAGGGAAAAACTGTTGCTCAATTTAAAAAAAAAAATTTTATATGGCAGCAAAAGGAGATTCAGGGTTGGTCCAAGGAGTACATCCAAGGAGGTGATCTAGACATCACCTGTGGACCACCAATTGTGTAACTGAAAACAGACTAATAATGATATTTAATAAATGCAATTATACATTGTCTCCAACAGAATGTTTCTTCTGAATTCTCTTGTCATCCCACCAAAGGGCCAAGTTAACAAACCAGGCTGCATCCCTAACCTGGGAGGTGAGTGCAAAGCAAGGGGTTCCCACATATGTCATAGATGTGACATTTCTTTTAAAATTGCAACTTGATTAATTATAATTAGAAATGATTTATCTTCCTTAAAAGGATTCTCCTATAAGTCTATTCTCAGCTAGCTATGGTTGGAAATATGTTCAGACTTCAAATTCTTAGGCTACTGAATTGTTTTTGCCCCTGAATATTAAGCAGGCATGTCTGAAAATGCTTTTAAATTAGACTTTTAGATGGAAGTGAGCAGAGGCGCCTTTTCTACTTATCTGCTCCCTCTCTTCAATCTTCTCCCTAGTTCTCTATCCCAGGACATCCTATATGATATCAGCAGTATCCCCAAATTTCCCACTGTGGCCCCTTCCTTTTCCCTAGCCTCAAAAGATTAAGGTATTATGATAAATAATATCTGTGAAAGGCCTCAGAGATGATGGAGAAGTTTATTTACATTTGAGATCTCAGAGAAAGAAAAAGATGTATAGAAAAACAGGTAGAGAAAGGAGCCACAGGAGGAAACAAATTCAGAGACATAAAGACAGAGGGACATGGTGACTCATGACTAGAAGAGAGGCATCTAGATACAAAACATGTGTAGTCACACATCTTCCAATCTTGTGTCTCCACATCCTTCTGGATATAGAGAGAGAAAAGAGAGGGAGACAGAGGAACCCACATTGAGATATTCATATTCATAGGGAGACAGAGACAGAGAGATGCAGGGAGAGGGTAAGAGATGCATTGGGACACCCAGAGAAATGCAGAAAAAAAAACCCAAAAAACCAAAGAGATTGGCTCACAGAGACACCTACGGAGTGACAGAGGCAGAACAGAGAAAGATGCACTCAGCGCTATGTAGAGAGGGCCTCCCACCCCTCATCCCAACACATCCAGGCTCCAGCAGCATTCGTGGCTTTCTACAGCAGTTCAGGGCCTTGTATAAAAAATGGGTCTTTTCCAAGAAGTGTTACAGTGAAAAGGAGGTGGTCCAGCTTAGAGAAAGACAAGGTGTGTAATTCAGCATTTTTGGGCAACAGGAAAGACTATTCTCTGGATTCCAAGGTTTCTTAAAGGGAGGAGACCCTTCATTGGCCATAAGGGATGTACCCACATGGGCTCATTGTTCAAGAGAGTAAGCTTATAATGCAGATGTTGTAAAGCCTATGAGTCTTGTACTTGTACATTAAAGCTGTGATCTTCTGTTCTTCACAAGGTCGTATATTCCAGGAATGGCAGAACCCAAAGGAGAAATGTGCTCATTCCTGTCTTCTTGCCTCTGGCGAATATGTAGGAAGCTCACACACTATGGTGCTGATGGAGGAGGGCGTGATGTGCAGAAAGGATGAAAGGCTCCTCTGTCTAAGCTGTTCTGGGCTACTAAACATTTCTCGTCCATCAACTGTACATATCTACATATATGTCATGCTGGACAGTCGCAGTGAACAAAAAGACAAAGGAGACCACAATTGTGGTTTTGTTGGGGCCTCCGTCTCTATGCCATTGGTTCACATTTGTCTTCAGAAAGCAAGCTCTGGCTTACCTTGGCAAAGGCGGCCTGGGATTTCACCTGGCTGGATTCTGTGTGTTGCCGAAGGAGGGACCCTCATGAATACTCACAGAGTTGGGCTGACTCTAAGTAGGTCATTGCTGATTTTTTTTTTTTTTCTCAAAAGGAATCCACTGCCAGTATATTCTACTTTTTCAAATTTAAATTGATTGGATGGTCAACCTGGTTTGGGCTTAGATACAACTTCCTTGGCCATGAACCAAGGAGAAAAGCATAGAGCTTGTGAAACAGAGAGATGCCTGTTTTTGGTTAAGGAGATGGAAGCCTGGAGTCAACGCTAATCAAGGATTGAGCCAGAGGTAGAAACCCAAGTCTGCTGACTCCCAGCCATAGACTTCCTCTTCAAGACCATGTAGCCACTGGAAGGTCTTCTGCCTACACTGACAATATAAGCTCAGTCCTCACCAACAATATGCTTTTTTGATACATGGATCTGGGGAGAAGAAATATCATGTTTCCAATTCAGAGCTCTCATTTTCTTAATTTGTATGTAAACAAATTCAACATTCAAACTAGGTGTTACTTGATAGAACAGTACTGCAGGTAGAAGCTCTTTGAGGAAAAAAAAAAAGCCTCTTTACAAAGGAAGCACACAGATGACTGCAGCAGCATCTAACTAGTGGATAAAGGCAAATGGGGCAACGGGCATCCTCTAATTATCCCAACAAGAAGTCAGTATTAATGATGTTTCATTACAAAGGAGAAAGTGAGGCTTACTTTTTCACTGAGTGCAGTTGCTCCCTTCCTCCCTCCTTCCTCTTTCTCTTTCTTTCTTTCTTTCTTTCTTTCTTTCTTTTCTTTCTTTCTTTCTTTCTTTCTTTCTTTCTTTCTTTCTTTCTTCTTTCTTTTTTCTTTCTTCTTTCTTTTTCTTTCTTTCTTCTCTCTTTCTTTCTTTTCTTTCTTTCTCTCTTCTTTCTTTCACAAATTATCTTCCTATAAGGAGGAAAGTTTGAGAAGACAAAAAGCATCAGTCTGAGGTTTAAAAAAATGCATCAACCTGAGAAAGAGTCATTTTTCAAATGGCAATGCTCATCTTGGAACAACAAAATTATCCTTCACAAATAAAGTCAGAGAGTGGTTTTAATTTACCATTTACCAATATATTTGTACGGTTTCTTCAAGAGATGGGGTGAGATAGACATAGTTCTGTTTTTCTCAATGCAGAGACTTAGATACAAAGAAATGTCACTTACCCAGAGACCATACATTGAAGTGAAAGTGGAATTTCATAAAGCAAAAATAGCTATAGGATGATAAATCTGGACAAATTATATTAAAGAGTAACTCCAATGCCTTATTTCACAGATAACAGCTCTGAGCCCTAGGGAGAGAGGGAGGGATTGGCCTAGCACTTGCTTTGTGCTTGAGCAATCACATTTAGTATGGAAGTACTCACTACTCAGGTGTACTCGCTCCCTGAGGTAGGATGGTGGGAAAGATACCCCACCTTTGCCTCATCATTAACCAAGAAAACTCAAGGATGCTGAGAAAAAACCCCTGGAATTATTTGTGAATTCCTGGAAGAAGCTGTGTCCTCTGTCTTACAGTCCAAAGCCCACTCTACACCATCTTGAAAAATGTCAAGGAACTGCACAGATTAGGTTGACTCTGGATGACCCTGGGTGGAGACACATTCAGTTTCCTGCTGACACCTCACCAAGAAAGTGACTTGGTCAGGTGACCCTAGGAGAAATTGGTACTCATAGTGTTCAAGGCAGATTTGTAGGTATCAGACTTAATACATAATGATTCTTGGGAAAGCCATTTAAATTCCTTAGACTTTAATTGGATAAATGTAGGTAAAGTACTTAGAATAGTACTTGGCAAATAATACTTGCTCATTCAAATTCAATATATTTTTTTTAAATTAGAGTCCTGTGAATACATGAACTCACCCACCCACACAAAAACACAAGCAAACATACAGCCATGACCCTGTGCATAAGTTTGACTGTAGATACCCTCATGGGAACTAGTTCACTGACTTCTGAATAAAAAAGTTAAGCAATTGATTTGTTCTGTTCAACATTAGGGGTAACAGCCAGCAAAACTGTTGAACTTACCATTGAAAAATCCTTTCGTTCAAGGTTACTGTGGACATAATACACAGTTTCCTGGCCAGGAGAGAGGAGTACCTATCGCAGGGCTCTGCTCAGCGCATGTGTTTCTGAGTTCTCCCTTACTTTCTGCCTTCTTCGAGAAGTCTTCCCTGATTGGTCTAACCAGAACTGCTGATTCTCCCCACCTGATTTCCTGTAATTTTATAATCTGTGCCCTTCACTTTATTTTTGTATTTACTGTTATATTGTTTATTTCCTTTTGGTCTTTTTGTGTGCATATGTATGTTTTGGGGGATGGGGTTATTCACTTTTGTTACTGTGTTCTCACTTTTTTATGCCCATAGTGCACAGCATGGTGCCTTGTACGTAGAATAAGTTCAGTAAATATGTGCAATAAAAAGTCCTTTGATTACACAACAACTTGATATTGGCTTTTCCACTTCCCAAATGACCCAGTTCTTAACTACCAACCTAAATGGAACTGACCCATTTCCTTGAAGAGCACCTCCTCGACCTTCATTGCTGTAAAACCGTAACAAAACTGCCTCTTACTTAAATCTCCTTATTGCTCACATTTAGAACATAGAAACAGCTAAACAGGGATTTGCTTTAGATCTTTGGGAGGAAGACCTGTGAGTAGACAAAAGTAGAGTTGGGATGTGTAGGACTGTTTGGTGGGAAGCAGAATAATGCAAACTGCTCCCCTGTCCAAAGTCAAATTGTGTGCGCTCCCCACAAGTGGACACAGTGCCTTCTCTGTCTTAATTACCAACAGCCATGTAGTGGCTCAGTAAGAATTCTGTGTTCCAGTCATTAAAAAAATAAAACAGAAATTTCTGGTGCTAAGTTAAGAATTAGAACACAATTTATGGATCAGTTTGCCAGCCAATTTTCTCCACGTTCAACATCAGAACATGCAAAAACAAAAAACAAACAAACAAACAAAAACACGTTTTAAAATCATCATCAGTGGTGGCATAATCTTACACTGTATCACCTTCATTCCAATTACCCCAGTGTTGCAAATGGAAGCAGAGTCTCATGTGATCGTCTGAGATAAGGATGAAGAACTGAAAGACAAACAAGTGACTCACTTTAATGGATTTGCTTCAGACAGGAGAAACCTGTAATTTCTCTTAGGCGTGCTTCATGGACCCATAGCGGAGTGAATCACAGACTTGCACAAGCCTTGAAACTGTGGGCAGCTTTACAGTTCTCAGACTGGCTTCTCACAAGTGGTCAGTTCTCACTGGGGCCTCTTGGACTTCTATTTCAAAAATGGAGAAGACAGATCACAGCCACTGACTGGGGGCTGTGGGAGGTGCCACGTGATGGTGGGGCACCATGCTGGGGAGCTGAATGCTGACCTTCCTGCTGGGTGATTCTCCACCTCTGGGCTACTAGATCTGCTTCCTGGATGTCGTGAGTACATGTCCCACCCAACACCACTTTCCTTTTGAAGAAAGGCTTGTTTTTGCACATACTCCAGAATGGGAGAAATGTGTGACTTATGATGGTATTTTCTGGAATGCTTGATTCTTCAGGAAACTTCCCTAACATGATTTAGAAATTGGCTAGCTCAGGTTGGAGTATTTCCTAAGCCTCTTTTACGTTTGTTTTTCTTTAAGAGTCATTCGTCAGTCTTTAATGGCTCGTCCCTAGGAGTGAAAATGCAAAGTATCCTGTCCCCTTTATCAAGCAAGGGGCAAATAAACTCACTGTCCCCTTGCTTGATAAATTTCAATAATTATCTTTTAGACTGAATGTAAAGCTGGATGTTTCTTAAAAGCATTCTTTATTAGCTTCTTCTTTTAGTGAGCCTGACAAAACTGTCATTATATCAATTCAAAAAAAACATTTCTCCCGTTACCGCCAACACATTTTTGCAAAGGCATCTTCCCTTGTTTCAAGTGGCCAATTCTATGTCACTTGAAGGTCTATATTCCTTATATTCTGAAGATAGTTGTGAGAGCTTGAAATGTTGCATCATTAGGTGCTGTTTCTTTGTTTGTTTTCAGTGTCAGCACTCCATGAGCTTTCTTCATAAAGCAGAGGCAATTGCCGGGCCTATCAATTTCCTTAAAATTATATACGCATCAAGATAGTTGGTGAGATATCTGGATGTCTTTCAACTCTCAAATTATGTCATTCTTGAAACCTATCAGAATTGGAATCCAGATTCCAATTTTTAGAAAAGATACTGGGCTACAAACAGATTGGCTGGAAGCCCTCAAAACAGCCAAGGATGAGACATTTCTGATTTTAATAGTTCTTCTGTTCTTTCTTTCCCCCAAGGCTCCATGTGAACCATTTCATCCATGGCAAGGGAGATCTGCTAAGGGTGACTAAATAGATTCTACCATTGAGGCCAGGAGATACTGGGTCTTAAAAACATAAACAACTCATTTATTCATCTGATGTTATAATCAGAGTTCTAATTATGCTACTGCAGCAGAGGAAACAGATGGTTATAGAATTAGGGGAACACACACACACACACACACACACACACACACACACACCCCAAAATGTGGGTCACTTAACTCTTAAGTTCCTTACCCTCTAGTTAACCTCTTTGAATTGGTTGTTCCCATCAGACAATGGTCTGGCCTAGGAGTATGGGGCTAGTTGCCCCATACCTTGAAGGCTGGCAAACAAATGAGAATAGGTGCTTCCTTTCACCTTGTGGTATAGTTCCTTTTGGGAAAATATTTCCCTGATTTACAAATATTCTTGGCCACTCACCTCAGGGTGTTTTGAAGGAACAAGTTTGAGAGATCACACCTTCCGATGCATTCCTTCTTGACTGACTACACTTACAGTTCTCAGCTGACCTTTTTTATTTTCTTTGGGAGTCCCGATGTCAGGCCACAATTAGCATGTTCAGACAGGTAGAGACTACTCAGTCTGTGTGAGTCATCCCCTACAATTCCATCTAGTATGTTTCGGAAAGAAGCTCCAGTATCCGGACAGACTCACTGTAGTTTTAAGTTCCAACTCATTCAGAGATTCAGCTCCAGATACAAGGAAGATGGGACAAATAGGAGATGGTGTTCAAGAACAGCTGAGGTCATCTGGGTCTGTCCGGAGAAAAAGGATTTTATTAGTTCTGACTTATGGTGACAGTGTGGGAAGAGACACATGCTTTATCACGACACCCTCTTGTGCCATGGCGGACATCCCTAAGCTAGTGTGGTATTATTTTCTGCTCCATTCTTTTTCACATAAGGCTTCAGGTAGTACAATAAAGAGGAGGTCTACAGTAGGACTGGCAGCCAGGAGCTTCTCTACTTAAGTCATCAGGTTCCAAAATTATCTAGAATTGCAAATGTACTCACCTGCCCCTCTGAGATAAAAAAGTTGCCTAATGACTTTAAAGCATAAACCTCAGATGCTGATGTCACTCTGCAGGGATCATTTCCCAATTCATTCACTTATCCAACAAATGTTTACTGAGTGTCTGTTCTGTATCTTATCCTTTGCTGGATAAGAAATATCCAACTGAGAATAGAGAAATATCAGGTGTTTACATTCTGACTAGTGACAACCTGACTTTTTCTGTCTATTTCACTAGATGTGGCCTAATTTCTCTCAGGCTCTGAGGCAAAAAGCACAAATTGTGCTCTGGTGACCCATTGTGATTAGAATTTAGGCAGTGGTGTGAAAGGTGCAGATTGCTGCAAACTTGATGGAGAGGTAGATCCTTAGACACATCCCCTCTGGGACAATCAGGTCTAGCTGTGTTTTCCTGTAAGCCTCTGAGGCCAGCAACTGTTATATTCTTTGTAATGACCAGCAAATGTTCTCTTTTTCTTTGTAATGACCATGTTGGAGCAGGGAGCCTGGCCTCCATTCAGCAGGCTTGAATTGCTTTTTAGTACTGTGTGAAAAACAAAGGTGAATGGTAGTGGGTAATTTTCACTTTTATAATCATGCACAGAAAGATGTGGGTTATGGAAATGGAGGAGAAGGAACCTGGGACAAGATTTTTGCAGGTCCTGAGAAGCTGCCATTCGAGGTGGCTTAGTTGCTTTTATCTCTGAGATAAGTCCTCTTGCAGACACTTGGGAAGGAGATGTGGAGCTGCCCTTAATGGGTGACTAGTATAGAAATTGGAGGGAATTTATCAATGAGTGATAACTCTTTATTCACCTCCTTGCTACAGATAGCCTCAGGCAAGAGTGCTTTTGCTTATTGTTTTCTCTTCTACTTTTTAAGTCTTCGTTTCTGAATCTGTTCTCTTTCTTGGGGTCACCCAAGCTTTGCTGTGAATGACTTAAAGAGCTCCTACGAATACATTAGCACCGGGATGGGAATAGGGTAGTTGCCCAGCAAATACATGTGAAGGCTGATTCTGGATAGATTAATGTGTTTCCCTCCAAGATAGCATATTATGATGGAATATCAGCTTGAAAATCCCCAAAGCATTTCTGATTACCTACTTGTTTTTATTTTTTAATAATTTTTGAGACAGAGTTTCCCTCTTGTTGCCTAGGCTGGAGTGCAATGGTGCAATCTCAGCTCATGGCAACCTCCGCCTCCCAGGTTCAAGCAATTCTCCTGCCTCAGCCTCCCACATAGATGGGATTATAGGCATGTGCTACCACACCCGGCTAATTTTTTTGTATCTAGTAGAGATGTGGGTTTCACCCTGTTGGTCAGGCTGGTCTCAAACTCAGGTGATTCACCTGCCTCGGCCTCCCAAAGTGTTGGGATTACAGGCGTAAGCCACCGCGCCTGGCCTAGCATTTCTGATTATCAAGTGAATTGGCAAAACCTAAGTGAAACAGTCTTCTTACTACAAGAAATCTCAGAACCTTTGATATGTGTTTGTGCCTCTGTGTGTGTGTGTGTGTCTGTGTGTGTTGGGGGAGTTGTGGCAGTGGTGGTACACATTGTTTCCCAAACTTATTTGATCATGGAACCCCTTTGTCTTTTATGAGACCAGTGTTCTACAGAAACCCATTTGAGGACACAAAGCCTTGGTCAAATACAGCAGACACAAAAGCCTCCATTGTTTGCCTACTAAAAGTAGAGCAGGCTGACTTCCCGAATTCAAAGAAAATTAGGTCAGTCTATACAAATGCCCTCAAGATTAAATTTTTCTTCTGTTTCATTTTCTTTAATCTTTTTGTGCCTGCTACAAATGGTTGCAAACAAATGGTGGATAATTTGCGTCAACTTCAAAGACAAATATGCCTTCTTCCAGCGTTATTCTGTCATGATTACGGCTTGCTGTTTTTGTTTCTCTTTACTGGGTACTAGGATCTTGATTTAAATGGTGACATCTTTTCCCAACCAAGTGTTTTTCTGCCACCATACACAGAGAGTTTATAAAGGTAGGGAATATAAGAGAACACACAATTTTGCTGATAAACTGAACACAATGAAGAAGCAGAAGTGAATAATGGAATAAAGGTAACTTAAGCAGAATATTCTTGGAACAAGTCTGGATTCTCCATGTAAGATTTGATCTAGCATCGGCTCCCCGCTCTTTACTAGAAGCTGGTATGCTCTCACCTGGGTGAGTTGGCTTCCGTCAGGCTCCCATATGAAAGCTGTTTCTCTATGTACTGACCATCGTTTGCTTATATCCATCTGCTTATAACCATTCTCACTCTTCTTGTTACATTTAATTTAATATTTAGGTTTTGCATGCTTGCTCTTTTCTTTCCCTCATTCTTTCAGGAGACAACTCACTACATGTAGACATGTGCTAGGTGCAGGAGAGATGCTATATTTGTATTTACCGAAAATTTTCTGTTTGGAATGTTGAAAAACTCTAATTCACTTTAATTATTAAGTCTTTATCAGTGGTAGATCTAAGGATGTGTGTTTCCTCCATCCTTAGATCCTGTAAAAGACCAACCACAGATGAATTAGGAGGATAAATTATGCCACCAAAGCCTTTAAAAAATTTTAAAATTTTCTGTTCTCAGAGTCCTTAAGCTCTTCTCTGCAGATCACTCTGGCTTTTGGCCTCAGCCACACTTGAATTCTGACAGGAGGGATCCCATTCAACTCTTTCTGATGAGAAGAAAACCAGCCGAATTAGGACCAACCTGAAAATATTCATCAAATCCATCCCTGCCAATCAAACTGGGCTAAAATAAAACTGCTATAATTCCTCTTAGGTAATGTCGCTGAATATTCTCCCCCAACATCTGTAATAACTAAAGGAAATTTACTATATAAATTACCATCCCAAATGGTATATAGTTACATGTGGCAGACTACAATAACATGAATGGTCAAGTAGCAAATTAGTTAATCAAAACCCTCCAGCCTTTTGTCCTCATTTCACATTTGTGTATTCTATGGTTATGTTTATTATTTCATATTGCATATATATTTTCTGTTTTTATGCCTATATGAAATGTATCATCAATCAATGTTGTTGCACAAAAAATGCCATAGTTGTTGGATCCTTTACTTCCTGGACACATTCAGGAGCTGTGTGGAGTTGGAGGTCCTAGCGTTAGTCAGAGGGTTGTTTTAGACTTCATGAATGACATCACATTATTATGCCAAATGTCTGACTTTCTTTCAACAAGGTTAGCTTTAAGCAAAACTCCTACATTGAAGGTAATGGACAGTAAACATGACCCATCTCCTGAAGCCTCAGACATCAGGTGCTATTCTTTTTTTTATTGAGACAGAGTTTCACTCTTGTAGCCCAGGCTCGAGTGCAATGCCATGATCTTGGCTCACCGTAACCTCCACCTTCTGGGTTTGAGAAATTCTCCCTCAGCCTCCCAAGTAGCTGGGATTACAGGTGCCCTCCACTATGCCTGGCTAATTTTTGTAGTTTTAGTAGAGATGGGGTTTCACCATGTTGACCAGGCTGGACTAGAACTCCTGACCTCAGGTGATCCACCTGCCTCGGCCTCCCAAAATGCTGGGATTACAGATGTGAGCTACTGAGTCTGGAAGCACGTATTCTTTATAAATGCCTCCCTTCGTCTTGCCTTCACCCATTTTTAGTGCACATTTCAGGCACTAATCTGAAATGTGGAGAGGAATTGGGTTTGGCTTCAGCAATGGTCCTATTATTTGGCCCTGAAAATAGGTTTCTTTTCTCCTTGACACATGTACTTCAGTATAATTGTGAAGACCAGCGAAGAAAAAGGTTTAAAGTGAACACTTTAATGAGAGAAGTGAACAATCTTCAGCTTGATAATCAAAATGAATCTTATAGTCTGTATCTGTTTTTCAAACTGCAGGTTACAATCCATTAGAGGCTTGCAAATTAAACTTAGTGGGTGGCAACTAGTATTTGAGAGAATGTCAAATAGAATAGAGAAGAATATAAGACAAAAATATTGGACATATCAGAGTTCTTGCTTGTAGGTAGTAAGGATAAGTATTTTTACATAAAAAATTGTAAATATAAAAATTTTGGTTTTTTGGCTTTGTGTATAGACACTGATATACATACATAGATACATACCTATGTATGTCTATACATAATGAGTCATAATATGAGATCTGTTTTTTATTGTGTCATTAAAAAAAATTTTTGAACACCAAAGTCATATATGTGAAACATATGGATACTTTTAAAAGTATTTATACTGGTTCTTCTGGTACTTTCTTTAGTAATGATCAGTTAAGCATCTATCCTAGACAATATTCATATTGCAAATTGCTTAGTGTACCCATTCATCAATTTATGGCCTACATGGGGACTTCTTTCCACCCACACTGTAAGATCATGAATTCTACATTCCTAATCCCAACCCCTATCAAATCCATTAGCACACCTTGCCTGTAATGCTGCCATGCTCTCTTTCCCTTGCTCAGACTTGCTCTACAAGATGATGTTGTAAATAAAAATACTTTCCCCTCCATTCATTGGTTAGAAACTTTAAACTCAAAGATAATTTGGAAGCATTTCTGTAAGTGCCTGTGGCTTATCATCTCAGCTGAAAACTCACTGGACTCATGAAAGTCCATCTTATGCTTGACTCTACCTAGAAACGGTCTGATGTCAGATCAGTGAGTTCTGTCTGCTCCCTGGTCATCAATTGCCTTATGGACCTAGTTGGATCAGGGCCTAATTTATCTCTACTAGATTATAAGAGAATTTATATTTGCTAAGGGTAGTCTTTTCCTGGCTGTGTTCACTGAATGCAAATGTGTACATGACCCCTCCTCTCACTGTTAGTTTGATTTGTCTGTTACCCATCGAATATCCTTTATGGGAAAAATAGCATCTTTTCTTTCTGTATGCTCAGCATCTGGTACAATTTCTAGCAAATGAGTGACGTTTGATAAATGTTGGTTGATAGAATGAATGATCATCTACATTTTATGAAACGGATGAAAAAATAGTCTCCATAAGGGTCAAATAGTTCATCATAGGGATAAGATTATTTTACAGCTCTTGCTGATTCTAAAATCAATGATCTTTTTATTTTGCTCCATCCGGACTTCCAGGAAAATCATTTTAAGGAACTTTATTACCAATAAAAGGTCTGACTTGCCGCTATCCTATATGAAAGTGTCATAGTAAGGATCATGATGATGTTGATAAATCTCAACTGTTATAAGGATATTTTCTTGGAGATTTGGCTTTGAAAGGTAGAACTCTCAGGAAAAAGGCAAGAACAAAGGTATCTTCCCATGCGTCTAGTTCCTCTGTAGAGTAGTTTATCCATTTCTAAGAGGGAGTCTCAGAGCTTGCTCTGAGTAGCAGATGATTGGGTTTATTAATTTCACTTTAAGTTACTTGTCTCCATATGCCTAGACAAAGCGTACACTATAGGATAGTGGTTCTCAACTGGGGGGGATTTTTCTTTCAAGGGCACACTTGACGACAACTGAGTGGGGAGTGAGTGCTACTGGCATCTATTGCATCTATTGGGTAGAGGCAAAGGATGCTGCTAAACATCCTACAACTCACAAGACAGCCCCCAGCAGCAAAGAATTATCCAGCCAGAAATGTCCACAGCACCGTCACAGAGAAATCCTGTTATCGAGATTAAGAATGGCGGTCCAGCTGGACCATCTGTGTTGAACTCATGGCTCTACCGCCTTTTATCTGAGTGATGTTGGGCTCATAGTTGCTTGACAATTTGTGCTTTACTTTCCCTATTGATAAAATGAAGACAGTAATAGTATCTTACATCATAGGATTAAATGAATTTATGCAAAGACTGTGCTTAGAACAGTTATTGGCAAATAGATATTCTTGATTAATACGACTTTTTTTTTTGAGATGGAGTCTTGCTCTATTGCCCAGGCTAGAGTACAGTGGTGCAATCTTGGATCACTGCAATCTCTGCCTCCCAGGTTCAAGCTATTCTCCTGCCTCAGCCTCCCTAATAGCTGGGATTACAGGTGCCCATTACCATACCTAGCTAATATTTGTATTTTTAGTAGAGATGGGGTTTCACCATATTGGCCAGGCCGGTCTCGAACTCCTGACCTCGTGGTCTGCCTGCCTCAGCCTCCCAAAGTGCTGGGATTGCAGGCATGAGCCACCACACCTGGCTGATAAATATGACTATTAAATAAACTTGTTAATTAAATAAGGAACGATGCTTTGGTGAAACTACATCTTCCTGGTTCTTCCATCATTCTATATTATTCTGTTGAAAAGTTAACAGTTGAGAGAAATTATTTTCTTTTGTACATTTTAGCTGGCTTGAAATAGATATTGGTGTGCTTTTCTAGGGCAGGCTGCTTTGGTGTGAATATCTCAGAGTATCAGATGGGTTCACTAAGGGGTTGATTAGCCTGCTAAGTATTGTGTTAGTTGTGTGAAGTTATCACCTTCAGGTGGGTATGCCTTCTTTCTCTATTGCAGGTGAAGATCCTCATGTATGAAAATGAAGTCCCAGGCAACCATGATTTGCTGCTTAACGTTCTTTCTGTCCACAGAATGTTTCCACTATAGATCCAAGATTCACATAAAAGTAAGTTTGATCTATTCCTATATAATCCCAAGAGGAATCTCTCAGTTGTCCTCGATGGCAAGACTTCTGATAAATAACATGTCATTTTACATACATTTTCAAAGGGTTACAACTTTACTCTTGCTGATAGTAACTTTCAAAGGAAAGGGAACAAAGAAAAGTTGAGAGGTGGCAGGGACTTGAGTGGAGAGCGACAGTACAGTAGAATAATCACTTTGCAAGCCTCAGAGAATGTAGAAAGACTGCTGCTGAGAGAAGAAAGTACTCTCCTGGCAGTTGAGCAATAAAGAGTCAGATTTTAACTTTGCTTCCTACTGGTTACACAAGTTGTTTCACTTTTCTGAGTCCCAATTTCCTTATCTATAAGATGAAGTTTTTAAAAGATATCATGTATAATTCTTTATAGATACAACAGATTTGTGATTCTATTAGTGCACCCTAGTGATTATTCCTAGTATCTGCTCATTTCTGTCTTCTAAGGACCTACAGTATCTGTGGACCACATTAACTTCATTTCATCCTTATGGTTAATACAGGCAGAGAACAGATTAGTCGTATAATTCTCATAACTGCATTCTCCCTGGATGCTTAAACTTTTCAGAAGATGTAGCATTTCTACCGACTTCACCTAGAGAGGCCAGGTGACTACCGCCAAGGTTCTATCCCTCGTCGGAGAGCAGTGCATTCTCCCTGTGCTCTCATCCATGTTTCCTTCAGCAAGTGCCCACAATACCAGCACATGGATGTGCTGCAGTTTTCTTTCTAGTCCTGAACACATTTTCTTCCCATATTCATAAGGCGCCTCTAAGCTGAGATGAGGGAGCAGAGTCCCACAGTAAAGAGGACCTTTGGGAATTTGTATTTTTCAGGCTGGAGATAAACTTCAAAGCCCTGAAGGGAAACCCAAGTCTGGAAGAATCCAAGGTATGTAGCTATAGAACAGTCTTCATCCATTTGAAGACAGGGAAGAATAAAGGAAGGGCATTGATGCTGCAAGCTTGTCCCCAGACCACAGGCTTTCCAACTGAATAGCAATTTCCAGTAAGTTCTTTATGTTTACCAGTAATGATAGATTTTGTTACATTTATACCAGTATCAGTGGCATAGTCAATGAAGTGAGTTAGCAAATATTCACATGTGCTCTAGAATAGTAGACAAAGAGCACATTTTCAAATCCCAAAGAGAAATCCATTCAAAGTTGTAAGTTAACAGGAAGCAGAAAAGGAAAGAGGACAAGATTATTCCTTTCTTCATTCAAAGTTATTTTCAGGGTGCTTAAATGTATGCAACACTCTGATGCTGAGAAGTCCATTAAAACACTGTAAGATGGACATCATGGAGATGAGACTGGCCACTCTCAAGAAGTGAGAAGTAAACTAAGAGGGTAATCACCAGTAGTACTTCAGTGAAATCATGTGGTTCTCAATCACATAGTAGGGAATAATTGGATTCCGCAAAATCATGGCCAGGTATAAATACATCCTTATATAGACGTGGAAGTGAGAAAGGAAAGCAGAGAGAAAGGTAGCTAATATTTACTGGGCATTTAAGACAACATGGATCTAAGTCTTATTCCATATTTGTAGAACTATACGAAAGAAGAAACTGAGAACCACTCTGGTTAATGAACTTGCAAAAATTGATGTACATGGTAGATGTCAAGGAAAGATGCAAACCTTGTTTCTTTTCCCAGTGAATAGAGTCATCACAGAGCTGTCCAAGCCACAAAAGTTGACTCTCAAGCAACTGGTCACCTCATTTTATTGATTTGAACACCCTGATAGCTCTCAGCATTATTTACTTTCCATTCCCCAGCTGCTATCTTAAGGCAGTTCTCCTGAGAATGTTTCAATAGCCTCATTCTTCCTATCTAAAGTGAGTTCACTCTGACCCATGGGTCATATTTGGCCTGCCATTAGTTTTGGTAAATAAGGTTTTATTGGAACACAGCCATGCCCATTCATTTACATATTGTCTTTGGTTGCTGTCACACTACAAAGGCAGGGTTGAGTAGTTGTGACAAAGACCCATATGGCTTGCAAAGCTGAAAATATTTACTCGCTGGCGAGAGTTGCCATATTTAGCAAATAAAAGTATAGAATGCCTGATAAAGTTTGAATTTCAGATAAACAATGAATAATATTGTGTGGGTTATACAGACACTAGAAACTTATTTGTTGTTTATCCGAGCATGTACAGTCAATCATTATTTGTGGATTCTAAATTCACAAATTTGCCTACTTGCTGAAATTTATTCGTAATCCCTAAATCAGTACTCACAATACTTTTGTGGTCACTCACAGACATGCAGAAAGCAGCAAAAAATTGAGTTGTCCAATGCATATGTTTTCAGCAGGGGCTGGACCAGGTGATGTTTTATCTTCTTGTTCTAGCTCTCCTACTACAAACAACTGTTCTTTTTTAGTCTACATAGCACCACACTTTTTTGCATTGTTGTGCTTTTTGTTGGTGATTTTGCTGTTTAAAATAGCCCCCAAATGTAGTGCTGAAGTGCTGCCTAGTGTTCCTAAGCCAGAGAAGGCTGGAATGTGCTTTATGGAGGAAATGCATATGTTAGATAGGCTTCATTCGGTTATGAGTTCTAGTGCTATTGGCCATGAGTTCAATGTTAATGAATCAGCAATATATATCAAATAAGGTGTCTTTATATAGAAACACAGAAAAAAACAAGGTCATATATTGATTAGTTGATGAAAATGTAAGCAGAAGCTTGCAGGACCCTAACCTTATATTACCCTAGGAGCAATTGTTCAGAACACTTAGTGTTCATGGCGACTTTATAGAACATAAATAACTCCTGTGGATAATTGACATTTAACTGGGCTTCCCATATTTTATCTGGCAACTCCTTTTATGTGTTCCTTTACATAAAAGTTTACGGACTCCTGCTCTCTGCTGAAAGATATTGATGAAAGATAATCATCAATTATCTTTCAAAAACAATTCCAATCATGTTTTCTGGTAACTCCCACATTAGCACAGCATCCAAGACCCTGCATGAGTTAACCCCTGCTTTCCTTCCCACCCTTATCTCTTGCCACACCCCCTTCAGGTGGTCTGTACTGGCCTTTCTGAATGATGTGAAATTCCCTTTTCCATGTGCTGTTCACTCTGCTTGGACACCTGCTTCACAATCTACCTGGCAGCTCTTACTCATTGCTGTGGACCTAGTTCAATGTCACTTCCTCCAGGAAGCAATCCAAAAATCCCCAAAATGAATTTGATGCAAGTTTCAGAGTGTGGAAGTCCTAATTGGGCTCCTCTCTCGCTCTTTTTTTTCTTTTTAGATGAATGCCATGGACCTTGCATCTCTTCCTCCAACTGCAGCCAGCCCTGTGCTAAGAACTTTCACGGAGAAATAGGATTTACATGTAATCAAAAAGAGTGGCAAAAATCAACTGAAACATGTACAAGCCTTTCTGTGGAAAAACTCTTTCAGGTGATGCATTCACAAATTATTGATAACAGAAGCCAATCCCCCAGGAGACAGTAGAGGCATATTTAATGTGATTTGTTCAGCATCTCAAAAGTCTTAGATCTGCATTTAGAAAAAAGTACAGAGTGGGTTAAAATTGTTTCTTGTCTTTCTTTCTTTATGCAAACTCTCAGGTATTCACCCTCCTCTCCACATGCTTTCTATTTCTCCCGCTAAGAAACTTTTCTAAAAAAAAGTATGAAACTCACACTATGGTGTATATATTTGCTTAGAAGTTACGTTTTAGCTTTGAAAGTGGGTTTGTATGCGTCTTGTGATAATCAGTTAATCAACTAAATGTATCTAGAATCAAATTTATTTTGATACCTCTTTTTTTTTTTTTTTTTGAGATGGGGTCTTGCTCTATTGCCAGGGTGGAGTGCAGTGGCATGATCGGTTCACTGCAACCTCTGTCTCCCAGGTTCAAGCAATTCTCCTGCCTCAGCCTCCCTAGTAGCTGGGACTACAGGCATGTACCACCATGCCCAGCTAATTTTTGTATTTTTAGTAGAGATGGGGTTTCACCATGTTGGCCAGGATAGTCTTGATCTCTTGGCCTATGATCCTCCCACCTTGGCCTCCTAAAGCGCTGGGGTTACAGGCGTGAGCCACTGTGCCTGGCCTTGATATCTGTTTTTAATACTTTCAATCTCTTGACCAAAAGAAAGGAGAGATGTGTGCTTGATCTAGAGGGAACAGAAATTAAATGCGTACAACACATCCAGTTAAAGTTAAAATCTCTTTTATGTCCTTCCAGGTAGCAACCATTTCCTTCTACCTCCCCTGTAACCCCATGGAAGCACATGGATCTCTGCATCTCCTAACATTTTAACAGTGGTTTTACAAAGGGATTGCAGCTGGCTTCTCTGTCATTTAGCATAAGTAATTACATAGAATTCCTTGCAACTATCGTCACACTCAAAAGTGAATGAAAGAAAATAAATCATTGTTTTGCTTTATTCTAAGTCACATTCTGAATGATTCTAGGTAAAAGAATCAGAAAATGAGCAAATCACCTCTTCTAACGAGTAAACTCTAAACTCTGAAATTGTAATTCCTTAGCATTCTGTGTTTGACCTGCCAACCTCCAGAATCCACTCCCCAATGAAATTCCATGTGGCTCTTCTTTCCCTTCTCTGTAGAAAATTATCTTGTTAGAATACTTGAGTTGAAATCACTGTCCTGAAAGCAAATTGCAATAGAAAAGGTCATATCCTGGTCCCTGGTAATTTGGATGAAATCCCCTGCCTCTTTCTGACCCCGCTGTATCATCTCCATCCCCTCTGCATCAAAACCACTTTTTAGGACTCTTTGCTTCTCCATCTGTCTTCCCCATGTGGACTGTTTGTGCTTTAGCTCCTTTAGTCTGATACATGGTAGGCACTTACTCATTTTTTAATGAAACTACGTTTATTTTAAACAGGACTCAAGTGTGGAATCTCGCCTTTCAGTAGCAGCACCGTCTATACCTCTGCACGTTCTAGACTTTCGAGCTCCCGAGATCATTGAGAGCGTAGCTCAAGGAATCCGCAAGAACTGTCCCCTTGATTATGCCTGCATCATTGATGTTGTGAAATCATCAGAAACAACATCTGGAAATATTGCATTTATAGTGGAGTTATTAAAAAATATTTCTACAGACTTGTCAGATAATGTTACTCAAGAGAAAATGAAGGTATTCCTTGTTAATCATTAAAAATGGATGTTTTTCTTAAAATTTGCATTTGAATGGTTTCAAATGTACTTTCCAGGGTAAAAATGACAACGACAGCAACCATCACAACAACAGCAGGGATTTCACTTCTGTTTTGGGTATTGATTCATTCTAGTTTATGGAAGTTTTCAAGAAGTTAAAACATGTGTAATACCTATCTTTGTATACATTTCATATTTTCAAGAGAAACATCAGAATGTAGTGAAGGTTGTGAGCAAGATGGAGTCTAAATTAGTGTTTCTAAAATTATGTTCTGTAGATCAGGGGTGCCCAACACTTGGGCAGTGGATTGATACCGGGCTGTGGCCTCTTAGGATCTTGGCTGCGCAAGAGGAGGTGAATGCAGGGTGAGTGAACATTACTGCCTGAGCTCCGCCTCCTGTTGGATCAGCTGTGGCATTAGAGTCTCACCTAAGCGCGGACCCTATTGTGAGCTGTGTATGAGGGTGGTGCTCCTTAGGAGAATCGAATGCCTGATGATCTAAGGTGGAACAGTTTCATCCTGAAACCATCCCCACCTCCACCACCCTGGGTCCATGGAAAAATTGTCTTTCACAAAACTAGTCCCTAGTGCCAAAACGGCTGGGTACTACTGCTATAGAACATAACCATTCTGAGAAATGTTAATGGAGACTCCATTTTTAAAAGGGAGATCCTTAGCACATCAGTTGTAGGAAGTTCTGAGTTCAACAAAGTTAAGCGAGATTCCATATGGCAGGACTTTTCAGAGCCTTTAATGTCCTAATGAACTTTGGAATTCTTTGTAAGGCAGGGGAGATAGGGACATGGCATGCAGTCTTCCTCAAGCTTAGATTATCATTCAACCTGCCTCCAGTCTCTTCCACTAAATAGTCATTAAAATCTCATGGGAAACTTGGGTTCTACACACTGCAGTTTGGAAATGCTACCCTGGCTGCAACAGTAAAGCAGGTACACCTTAGCTATGATTTTGTTTCTGCTTTATTGTACTTTTCTTCCCTCTGTGTGGGCTTACTAATGTGGGATTCTAATACACGGGGAATTTGAAGAGAAATATGGCAAATAAGAGTATGTAACTTGATCTGTAGAAATTTCAGGTTTTAGAAATCAACTTTGTGCAACAGTTTGTAAGTCCTGAGTATAATGTTCACCTTTCTCCATTACAGAGCTATAGTCAAGTGGCCAACCACATCCTCGACACAGCAGCCATTTCAAATTGGGCTTTCATTCCCAACAAAAATGCCAGCTCGGATTTGTTGCAGTCAGTGAATTTGTTTGCCAGGCAACTCCACATCCACGACAAATCTGAGAACATTGTGAATGAACTCTTCATTCAGACAAAAGGGTTTCACCTCAACCATAATACCTCAGAGAAAAGCTTCAATTTCTCCATAAGCATGAACAGTACCACAGACGATATCTTAGGGACGGTACAGATTCCCCAGCAAGAGCTAAGGAAGCTGTGGCCAAATGCATCCCAAGCCATTAGCATAGCTTTCCCAACCTTGGGGTCTATCCTGAGAGAAGCCCACTCGCAAAATGTGAGTCTTCCCAGACGGGTAAATGGTCTGGTCCTATCAGTGGTTTTGCCAGAAAGGTTGCAAGAAATCGTACTCACCTTTGAAAAGATCAATAAAAGCCACCATGCCAGAGCCCAGTGTGTTGGCTGGCACTCCAAGAAAAGGAGATGGGATGAGAATGCCTGCAGAATGACACAGGATATCAGAAACAAAGTGAAATGCCGCTGTAACTACAACAGTGCGGTGATGTCTTTTTCCATTCTAATGTCCCCCACGTCGAAGACGGACAAAGTTCTGGACTACATCACCTGCATCGGGCTCAGCATCTCAATCCTAAGCTTGGTTCTTTGCCTGATCATTGAAGCCACTGTGTGGTCCCGGGTCGTTGTGACGGACATATCATACATGCGTCACGTGTGCATCGTGAATATAGCAGTGTCACTTCTGACTGCCAATGTGTGTTTTATCATAGGCTCTCACTTTAACAATGGGGTCCAGGATTACAACGTGTGTGTTGCAGTGACGTTTTTCAGCCACTTTTTCTACCTCTCTCTGTTTTTCTGGATGCTCTTCAAAGCACTGCTCATCATTTATGGAATATTGGTCATTTTCCGTAGGATGCTGAAGTCCCGAATGATGGTCATTGGCTTCGCCATTGGCTATGGGTGCCCGTTGATCATTGCTGTCACCACAGTTGCTATCACAGAGCCAAAGAAAGGCTACATGAGACTCGAGGCCTGTTGGCTTAACTGGGTCAGTACCAAAGCCCTTTTGGCATTTGCCATCCCGGCGTTGGTCATCGTGGCTGTGAATCTCATCGTGGTTTTGGTTGTTGCTGTCAACACTCAGAGGCCCTCTATTGGCAGTTCCAAGTCTCAGGATGTGGCCATAATTATGAGGATCACCAAAAATGTTGCCATTCTCACCCCACTGCTGGGACTGACATGGGGCTTTGGAATAGCCACTCTTATAGAAGATACTCCCTTGATGTTCCATATCATTTTTGCCTCACTCAATGCTTTCCAGGTAAGTTCCAAGAGGGAGACTTTTCTGTGTTACTGTAGCTAGACCACACACACACACAAATGGCTATGATTTGAAACCATAGAACACGCAGTGTTCTTTCCACTTCCTCTTAAATCTGAGGGGTATTTGGCTATGGCATCTCTGACCGTATTGATTATCAAGTTGAATTGAGCTGACCAGGCAGGTTGGGCGGAAATCTCCTTCCTTCTTTCCTCACCGATTCACCTGTACCCCTACTAAAGTTTCTATGTTAGAAGGAGCTAGCCTTCATTTATAGAACTATGTGAGGCAACATGTTAATGCCTCAAAACAAGCACATTTTTAAATCCTTTCTCCAGTGGTTTGGGAACTCAGTGAAATAAGGCAACAATTAAACAACCAAGTATTCCCATTAGCATGTCATTATTCTGTTTAAAGGCATGATACAAAATAGAAAGCAGACTTTAAAGAAATGCCAATTGTAATCAATTATATATCTTACTCATAATTTTTTAATAACTATAAAGCACATTTTTTCCTACTCTTTCTGTTGCATTGCTTAAAGTGAAATCTTTCACATGAGGGATTTTTTTTTTAAATCAAATACTTTGCGACTTTTGATAAATTTCCCAACTCTGAAGTTACCCTGGTGAGTAATTATCTTGTCCTTTCTTACTTTGCAGCTTAATTAAACCCCAGGACATTTTACTCTGTATTTCTTTGTCAGTTCATTTGTGTTTCTCTCTTCTTGATAGAAAGAAAAATACCCAAATGCTTTTAGTTGTATACATTTCTCTTTTCTCAGCAGGCTCTCCCTGTGACTTAACATCTAAAATTTTAATATGATGGCTGTTTCTTCACCATGAATTATCCTTAGATTGAGAGTGGAAAGACCCTAGCCTTACAAATCTCTGTAGCATTCTCTTTCTTTCGTGAAAAAAAATGTTTTCCCCACCAGCTTAGAGGCCTTGGCTGTCTATTTACTGACTTTTAACTCCAACTCAAAGTAGACTAGAATATAAATTTTGTTTTCTTAAGACACCCTCCATGATTGTCATTTTGGATTACAAGTTTCTGTCACATGTGACTGTCATCATGAGTAGAAACAGCTACCTCAATATTTGGGAAGAAAGTAAAGTAACTGCATAAGGCTGAAAACGATCCTATGTCTACAGCCATTCAATAACTATCAGTAACCCTCCTGCATTCCTGTGCAGGTGATGATCCTCTTCCAAGGGTGGGGGAGACTCAAAGGAACACCAATCAGTGCATTTTTATCTGCATTAGTGGAAGCTGAAGTTTCTAATGTCCAATAACTGCCCTAGGAGGAATCTAGAAGAGTGGTATGAAAATAAGAGCTGAGATGTTGTTTGAAAAACCATCCCTCATGAGTCTGTTGAATTTTGCCACAGGGTTTTTTCATCCTGCTGTTTGGAACCATTATGGATCACAAGGTAATTTGAATTTGCTTCCTCCTTATAAATGATTTTCATGTGGCTGGGGGAAGCAGGAGGATGAAGCAGTTTTGATTGGAGAGCACAGTCCAGGGAAGTTGAGTTTGTGAGGATGGTTCAGGGAATCAGCTGTGAAAAGGGGGAGAAAAACCAGTATTTTGTCATTTCTCACTCTTTATCAAGTCAACAGTAGGCTGTGTGTGAGTACTGCTGGCGAAAGAATAGAAATCATAATCACAATTTTAGTCTTAATACCAAATCTAATTATAACTACACCCTAGCTTTATCCAAGTCTTGTTACTTGCCAGCCACTATGCTGAGTCCTCTGATACTCTTCTGCCAGGGTTACTGGTCTTCAACTTTCAGGACAGGCATCAGCCCTGGTAATTTTGTTGTTTCTTCTGACATCTACTTCTCACTGTCATTGCTTCTTTAGATAAGAGATGCTTTGAGGGTGAGGATGTCATCACTACAAGGGAAATCAAGGGCAGCTGAGGTAAGCCTCCCCTTTTTGTTTCAGCACTGGCGGGTCTGTGTCCTCATCGGTTATGCAGAGACAAGTACCGTATGTAGCTCAGTACTCAGGATTTGTGAGCTAAGAGGATCAATAGGGTATACTTCATTCATTCATTTCTTCATTAGATAAATTTGAAGTATTCTGCTTAAGCAGAAGGTCAGCAGAATGTACACTTCGAGAGAATTTTTCATATTGAATGTATTTCAGCTTGACATTAAACCCATCAAGATGGGACCACATGAACTCAGGGTCATAAATTTGTAAAATGTGAGAGCTGTGAAATGAGAGATGAGTTAGAAATGAGATTCTAGTCCAACCCATTCATTTTACAGGTACGGAAATCAAAGGCCAGAATACTTATGGGATAAGCACAAGGCCACCCAGCTAATCAGCAGCAGAATCACAATAGGGACCAATTGGTTTTAAAATGTCTTTCCATTCCCCTTATTTGGGACTCTTTTGAGTACACCATACTCCCTTGGATTGAAGAATCAATGTATTTAGAGATCTTGAAGACACTGGACATCAGTCTCTTAAGACACCAACTAAAATTGCTGATACTGCTTTATTAATTAAAAGTTATTTGTTCAACCTATAGATTCACATTAGAAGCCCCTTCCTTAAAAACAAAAACTTTTTGGATACATTGAATAACTACCATTTACAGTTAGATAGTATTGAGTGTGACTTTTCATATCATAGTTTATCTATTCTAAGATAGGCATTTTCTTCATCTTTTAACTTATGTTTAACTTGTATCTTATATTCAATGGCATGTCATAGTTTAATTGAAAAGTTTATTTTTATTTTTTAGCGGACATAAAAATAATGATGTGGCATACACTTAGATTCAGTGAAATACGATAATTAATTCTATGTAGCTATGTCAATTTGGGTATTCCTTGTCATGTCTTCATTTTCACATGTTTATCTCTAGAGAGGCACATACATAAATATATGTACTGTTTGTCAATATCATTACTCATTATCGCTGTTTTCTTTCCCCCACTTAGAATGCATCCCTAAGCCCAACCAATGGATCTAAATTCATGAATCTTCAAGGATGAAATGTGAGTATTCGAAATACAAAGAGAAAGTTCACTTGCAAGTTGTATCAGTTCACCAATGCCCCTTGTGACCACACTACTGCCTGCTATGTGATGCTGGAATGAGGTGGGAGAGGAACAGGGGCACGTATTTTTCAGAGACTAGAAACATCTTTATTGTCTAGCATGTAAATAAAAATATGTACATCTTTAAAACCTATGTCATCTCAGCTTACATGACCAAACCCTGAGCATACTTGAGATTTTCTGCCTCAATGAGAGGATGCTGTCATTACACCTGCTGTCTACAGCGCTCACATACCTTAATTCCGTCTTGTCAGTGAGTAGTAACACTCATAATAGCCCCATTGTTGAAAAAGAACACCTGATTGATTGGGATCACAAAGCAACAAGTCTGTCTTTTCTAATGAAGTGGAACCCAGAATCATTCCTAAGACGGTGTGGGTGGGAGCTCCAAATTAGCTACCTACTCATAGCCAACTCCAGAGACGTATTTCTACACAGGTGAAACCAGGGGAAAACACACATTAGGCAGCCAGGAAGCAGGAGAACAAGTCACGGAATGGCAGCCAAAAGCCTGAGAGGTGCCGAGGGAATGTGGGCAGGGATGGTCAACATCGGGAATGCTTTTGCTTGGAGAGTTTCATGGCCTTTCTGCATTGTTACAGACGAGTGTTAGACTTTCAGACAAAGTACCATTTGGCAGCAGCCACAACCTTTTCATATTTCTTTCCCTTTCTGAGTTATGGTCCATATATTGAGCAATGGGCCAAAACAAGGGGTTGAATCTCATGGAACCAGAGACACCCTGAGTTGGGAAAACCTTTAAGGGACATCTGTGTTACAGATCCTACAAATTGGATGCTGTGCTGGTATGGGACATACCATCCCAGGGAGAGGGAGAGAGAGGAGGGCTCGGTTGTGTACATGGAGTGGTATGTGTGGGTGCTGGGAAAACACAGGCCTGTTATTTTTAACAATTGCCCTCATATTTGGAATGTTATAGGAGAACTTTAAAAGGTGTGTACCCTTCTACTCTGCCCATTTCCTAGTCTGTAAGCTTCCTCTGGGGTGAAACATCACTATAACATTTCTTCATTTGCCACTAATAGAGAGGCAGCAATTCAGATAATCTATTAAAAACACAGCTGGCCTTTCAATTAAGGTCTTAATTAGACAACCACTTGCTTTAAGTTTATCAGACTGTCTCAGGTGGAGGAGGCCCTGCCTTTGGGGAATACTGTGTCCAGCCTTTCAAGAGAAGCAGTGTGTAGTGAGGGCCTTATCTCCAGGTAGCTGGCATCCTCAGTTGGCTGTAGTCTAAGCTGGAGAAACATAGTAGAAGGCGAGATCAGGAGCTACACTACTTACTAGGGTTGGAGATGTACAAAGTCATCTGCCAGTATTAGAAGGAGTCCAGGAAGGAGGTGGAATGCACTTAACAATACTCGTCACATAATTCTCTATCAACTTGCTCTATTTTTAAAGCTGTAGGAGGTAGGCGAGGAACTGAGGATTGCATTCTTTTAGCATATCCCTTGCAGGTGGCTCTGTGCCTATTTAATTTTCTCAGTTTGGGGCCTAAGCTTTTCACATCTGGGCATACATGGCATCAGAAGGGCTCTGTAATCACAGCTGGCCTCATGGTAGACCATGTTGGGTACTCAACAAAGATTACGGTACAGGGCTAAGACATTCACATTACATGATCCTCCAAAGTCCAGGGTGGAGGGTGGCAGCACCAGGGGAGTTTCTCAGCAGAGAGAGGGGCCCCACACACAGGGTTCGGGGCAAAACGCTAGGTACACACGAGGTGTTTGGTAAGCACCAGGAGTGGTGGTGGTCCAGGGCAGGGTGGAGGAAGGCAGTGTTCCAGACTTTCACCAAGAATACAGAATCGAAGGCTGACCTGGTCTCAGGAGGTAGACAGAATTCCGAGAAACGGGTTGAGAGGTCAGAACTGCACTTGCAAGGAGAATTAAGTCTCCTCATATTCCAATGACCGCAGGTCAAAATTGTTCTTAGAAACAGGGTGGAGACAGGTCTGTCAGATGGTCCCAGGGTCAGGGAAAGAGGACTGCAGAGGTGGAGAAACAGGGAAGTTTGCTTTGGGTATAGATTCTCAGTGGGGACGCCCCTCCGGCCCCTCCCCGCCCCGGGAGGCAGGAGAGAGAGGGCTGCGGCATTCTGCCGGTGGCCACAGCTCCACGGCGCCCTCTTCTGGACTTCAGTAGGACAAGCAGGCTGTTAGATTCCAGGGGCACCAGGAAAGCTTTGGGTTCCTTGGTCTACCACTAAAAGGATACAGAGTTTTTCACTCCACAATAACAAAAGAGACAGATTGAGCAACTACCTGGAGGGAAGCAGCAGGTTTACAATGTAAATTCACAGAAGCAGAGCCATTCTAGAATCTAAGTTCAGACAGCAGAGGAGAGAAGGCACTGAGCACTGAGTTTAGGTTGGAAGGACCAGCTTAGGGAAGGTATCTGCACCAAAAATTGCAGCTGGGAGAATCGTCTTTTTACTGTGTGACCTTCAGGAAATTACTCAACAACTCTATTTTTCATTTCCTCTTCTGTAAAGCAGAGTTAGTGATAGTACATGCCTCCCAAAATAGTCTCAGGCTTAAATGAGCTAACACATTAAAAACCCAATGTAAGCTATTATTCTTGCTATTAATTGTGTTTCAACCACATTTCCCAGGCTGCCCCATTTCTCATGGACGTCCTGGGACCGAGAGGGGAGATCCAGGAGAAAGGGGATACAGAAAGCAGGCTGGAGTGAGGAGGAATGGTCATGCTTCCTTGGAAGACTTTCTCTTCTTGTCAGGAGTGACTCCCAAGCTCTCAGTCGGCCAGAAGAAAAATTGAGGATTTCATTTGCTTACTGGGCTTTAAGAAGGGTGATTCATGAACCCTTTGATCTACCCGTGCCCTGCAAGATGCTGGCTTCTTGGTCAATCTTGGCTAGATTAAAAGCCAACCTGCAAGCCATTTTACAGTCTCCGTGGCCAGCTGGGGGCTGTGGCCCTGCTGGGCTGGGTCTGCTTTCACTCCTGAGGCCTGCTCTGTGGCTCCGTGTCTCAGTCCTCAGTCCTCCATCACTCTGTGTGGATCCTGGGTGCTTTGGACAATGAGGGTTAGATCCAATTTCAGGGGTAGGGTTGGGGGTGGGAGTGGGAGTACGGGGTGGCAGGAGGAACATTGAGTCTACTTTGGAGACAATTAAGTCATGGTATGTTTCCTGAATGGGGAACAGAAGAAAGTAAGAGAACTGTTTAATATGCTGATTCTTTTAGTCTATTCTACACCTTGAGTAAACTAATTTAGCTTCTAGGATCCAAATTTCTTTATTTGCGAAACAGGAAAAAAAAATTCTTGTAGGTATTACTATTTGTGTGTTTGTGTCTACGTGCAGGGGTGTGTGCGTGTGTGTGTGTGTGTGTGTGTGTCTTTCAAAAATGCTATAGAAGATTCTGGTTATTTTAGATATAAAAATGAATATATGGACCTCTCCCAACTTGCTCATGTGTAAGTTCATTTAAGATGGACTTCTCCATTGGCTGCTATCAATCCACCTCAGTGCATTGCCCATTCCTACAGGAGGCCTGAGGTTGCAATCCTGCCATGCGTTCACAGGGTGGGAACCTGGAAATTCTTAGCAAAGAGCACTAGTGTCTTTCAGAGACTCTCAATGAAATTTCTATCACCTGTTTTGTTGTATAGCGAGGCATTCAGAAAGACTGAAGAAGGGCATGTGCATGGTAGAGCACTTTGTTCAAACTGGGGAAGTCCTAAAGCCAATTAGTGGTCATGATGTTTCACAAAACAAACAACAGAACAACTGAATGAATATCTCTTTGCAGAGCTCCTGTCAAAACCTTTAGTATTGGTTTAGAAGCAAGATAAGATTTGGTTTCAAACCAAACAGTAATTATTTAAAGGGTGAAAATTCTCAATTGCAAATTTTTCTCCTCTCATAAAATGTTCATTGGAAAGATGTGAATTTAACTTTTAGATGTGTAAAAGTTCCTGAGCATTAATTTATTGATCCACATTTCCTTCCTGACTCTTGCCACTATATAAACAACTTTTATTTCTCTCAATCCAGAAATTCCTGAGCATTCCGTAATTCTAAGCCAAATAATTCACTTTGGTTTAGTAGAGTTACTTGGTACTGTAACAAGGCCAAATTTATAATTTGCATATGCTAATACCATTTGGTCTTCCTTCTTTTCCATATTTGTAGCTTTCAAAGCTTTCCATCTTTGTAGCACATACGAAGAGAAATACAGTCCTAGGTGCAGTCAGTTCTGTGATAAGGCCACATAAGCATTTCCAAAAATCCCCTTGTTGGAAAAGTGGCGAGAAAAACCACAGAGCTTATGGGAAAAATGCATTAGAGATAGATCATGCTAAAACTTTGTCAGAGACACGTTAAAAAAATAACCAAATAAAAATTAGAGCACAGTTTAACTCATGCTAAAACGTCAAGTAATACATAAATACGATGATATATATGTGTGTGCATATATATATAGTTTCCATTGAAAAAGACCTGAGGTTTGCTTTAGGAAGTGGCTGTCAAATAGGTTGAAGCTTGTTAGTTATTGTGGAAGAAGGTTGTCTGACATTGATAGAAAATTGTAACATCAGAAGTAATTTGGTGTAGTTTGTAACACATGCAGTGAATTGGGAGAGCTGGTAGATGTTTAAAGTGTGGGTGTGTGTGTGTGTGTGTGTGTGTGTGTGTGCCTGCATGTTTTGTATACTCCTGTGTTGCTTGGTTCACGTACATACAGTTTTCTGGGTTCACCTAGTGTTTCTTGAAGATGGTATCACATATTAGCAAATATGAAATTTGTGTTATGTTTAAATTATTCTCTAACACATCCATCCAGTTAGAACAAATTCTTGTTTTCAAACAAGCATTATAGCAGAACTGACTGTATCTCATGGTGACTTTCCATAAAGAACAGTGAATTCTAGCACTGCAGCACATTAAAAATCACCTAGAAATCTTCTAAAACCATGAACCCCTGAGCCTTACCCCCAGAGATTCTGATTCAACTAGTATTTGAAAAGGTGAGGAGAGAAAACCTTTCTAGGTAGAAGAACAAAGAAAGAGAAACTTCTTGCTCAATAAGTTTTATTCAGATGGTTATTGGTTTCTTACTATATGTGCCTATATTGAGGGGTACAAGCGGAGAAAATGAAGTCTCTCTTAGTGTTCTGCTTTGACCAAACATCTATCCACAGAAAAAGATGATATAAAACAACTTTATCCAATATTGAATTATTGCACAAAGACTCGATGTGATGAATATATCAGAGAACTGAGGAACTGGATGGCGGTCTCAGAGAGAGTGGAACCTGAGCTGTGTCCAATGGCTGGAAAGGATTTGAACAGATGCTTATTTTAGGCCCGGAGGAGAGCATGAGTGCTTCAGAGAGGAAAGTAAAGAGTAAGGAAGGCACTCATGGGAGGCCATGCAGAGAGCAGCCTAACCAACTGGTGGCCATGCTGGCCATAGAGGGAGAATACATGAGATTCTGGAAGGCCTAGCATAGCTGGTGGGGGTGACGGGGCTGGATCTGGCATGTGATGTAAAGATAATAAATACTACTTCCTGCACAGCTTTCTGTTTTGGAGAACAATGGTTAGCCCTATTCAGGAAACCAAAGACTCAGAGAAGTGTGGAGAGGATGATAGGGTGGAATGAAGGGGCTATCTGTTATGAAGGCACTGCCCAGGCTCTTGGAGGACTTACCTGAGCCACTCATTTGTAGGTAAATTTTCCCGCTATGGATTTCTCCCTCCTTGTAAATGTCACAAGTCAATGACTCAAGGGTTGTGGTTCAATTATAGCCCTCATATTAGTCCATTTTGCGTTGCTATAAAGGAATATCCGAGACTGGGTCATTTATAAAGAAAAAAGTTATTTGGCTCACGCTTCTGCAGGCTGTACAAGCATGGTGCCAGCATCTGCTGGGCTTCTGGTGAGACCTCAGGAAACTTGGCATAAGGGAAGGGGAGCAGGTGTGTCTCATGGTGAGAGCAGAAACAAGAGAATGAAGGAGGCACCAGGTGTTTTTTTAACTATCAGTTTTCACGTGAACTAATAGAGTGAGAATTCACTCATTACTATGGGGAGAGCACCAAGCTATTTGTGAGGGACCCACCCCAACACCTCCCATTAGGGCCCACCTCCAATATTTGGGATCACATTTCAACCTGTGGTTTAGAGGGCACAAACATCTCAACTATATCATTCTTTAAAAAGAAATCGATTTTTACCTGCCTACCGTGGCCAGGTAGTATTTTGTCATCTCTTTCTAACTTCCCACCCATTTCATTCATTCCATTGACAGAAGTGGCTGAAAGTTTTTATTGCAAATGAAAGGGACAGCTTTTACATAGGTTTGTTTTCACAATCCAGCTCTTCCAGAGATAGCAATCTGCCTAGGGAGTGAGAACTGGATTTCACAGTTACAGGACCTTTGGGAAACAGTCAGTCACTGAGTGGCATCTCTGAAAGAGGCAACTGGAGAAGAGAACTCGTATCCTGCCCAATTCCCACAACTTCCTAAGGGTGGCCTGTGAAGATTTAACAGCCCTCAGTGCAGGGAAAGAGAAGACTTTAGCCAAGAAAACAAGTGAAGAATGTTGAAGCTCATCAAATGAGAAATAATCAAACATACGCAGAAGAGTACCACCATCCTTCTGTAAGATACAGATAGTTTAAGACGGTGGATAGAACCATTTTTCAGACATATAAATGGGGTATAAAAGTCAGGGAGTGAAGACTGAACATCTACACGTTTGGGTCTGGAGACTTTTGGAGACCATAGGCTGGATTGGGGCTTGGCTCTGTGACGCCCTTCATACATAAGCAGTATAGGCCAATGGAAAGAAGCTAGGCTTTGGAGACAGTCAGGTGTGTCTGTCATTTCAATTCCGTCCTTCCCAAGTTCCAACAGGTGACTTGGGCAAGATATTTAGGCGCTTGGAGTCTACTACTTTGCTCATCTATAAAATGATAACTTGAAATGTACCTTATGGTTTAGAGTGAATAAGATGTCTGTGAAAGCACCTGCCCTCATGTCTAACGCATGGTAGACACTTGAGAAATGTTAGTCTCCCTTCCCCATCTCTTTATTTTTCTGGGGATGAGGGGATGGTGCCAGTACTAGAGAAGTGGAATCAAGGACTTACATATTAGGACTTTTATTAGGCTCAAGAGCAAGAGTTAGAAGAAACCTCCAAATGTCCTTCTAGTGCTTAGGCCTAGTTCAGGATAGAAAAGGGGAGCGAGTTTCAGAGCAAAGATCTGCTTCAGGGAAAAAAAAAAGACATATATATATATATATATATATTATACATATCTGGGTCTTGAACCTAGTTCAAGAGAGTGAACCTTATATGGGATAACATTAATTTTCAGAGGAACCAATTGTGGAGAAGACAAATTCCATTCCATTCTTGAATTACTTTAGTAACTTAATTCTTCAATGCAAAGCAAGTTCTGGGGAAGATTAAGAGCTCTCTCTGAATGCTAAAATTCTAGCTGGAGTGACATACCTACAGCTGTATTAAAAATTAAGAAGATAAACCTCTGGGATAGGTAACATAACCCGTGCCTCAGGACATCCATCATCTCTGTCTTGGTTTCTCTGAGATGATATTTAAAGCATGAGCCCTTCCCAAATGTGGTTATGGGATGAATTACATCTCTTCCGAAATGTGTATGTGGAAGTTCTTATTCCCAGTACTTTAGAATGTGCCGACATTTGGAGATAGGGCTTCTAAAGAGGGAATTAAGTTAAAATGAAGCTGTTAGGGTGTACTCTTATCTGATGTAACTGGTGTCCTTATAGGAAGAGATTAGGAGACAGGTAAGGACAGAGGAAGTCCATGTGAAGACACAGGGAGAAAACAGCCATCTATAAGTCACGGAGTGAGAACTTAGGAGATGTCAACCCTGCCGACACCTTGATCTTGGACTTCCAGCCTCTAGAATTATGAGAGAATCAATTTATTGTTTTTGTTTCTGTTGTTGTTGTTTTTCTTTTCTTTTCTTTTTTTGAGACGGAGTTTCATTCTTGTTGCTCAGGCTGGAGTGCAACAGTGCGGTCTTGGCCCACTGCAACTTCCGCCTCCTGGGTTCTGGGGATTCTCTTGCCTCAGCTTCTTGAGTAGCTGAGACTACAGGCACCTGCCACCATGCCTGGATAATTTTTGTATTTTTAGTAGAGACAGGGTTTCACCGTGTTGGCCAAGCTGGTCTCAAACTCCTAACCTCAGATGATCTGCCTGCCTTGGCCTCCCAAAGTGCTGGGATTACAGGCATGAGCCACCATGCCCAGACAATCAATTTATGTTTGAAGCTGCCCAGTCTGTGGTACTTTGTATGGCAAACTTAGCAAGCTAATATACAGGCTGAGAGATATTTTTAGATGAATGAAATGCTTCCTGAGAATGCATATTTATTTCTCAGAACAAAAGTTGTTTTATGGATACAAT